CGGAGCCCAGCAGGTCGAGGCTGTGGTGGCCGGGAGCGTGCCACCGCACTCCAGTCTGGGCGACAGAGTGAGACTCCAACTCAAAAAATAAAATAAAATTAGCCGGGCATGGTAGCCTTCTAGTTGGAAGGCTGAGGCAGAAGGATCACCTGAACCCAGCAGATTGATGCTGGGGTAGCTGTGAGCGTGACTCTTGCACTCCATCCTGGGTGACAGAGTGAGACTCTGTCTCAAAAAAAAAAAAAGGAAAAAGAAAATCATAAGGCAGAGAAAATATATTTACTATTCACTAAGTGGAAGTGAATTATCATAAAGGTCTTCATTCTTGTCATCTTTATGATGAGTAGGCTGGAGAGGAGGAGGAGGAGCTTGCCTCTCTGTCCCTGGAGCACAGAGGAAATCTGCTTATATAACTAGACTCGCACGTGGCTGGTCTGAGTGCAGTGGTGTTTACAACTAGTGGGTCACAACCAGTGACAGATTTCTTTGTCCTTCTCCACTCCCACTGCTTCATTTGACTAGCCTTTAAAAAAAAAATGTGGACCAGGGCATTTCAAACCCGTGTGATTCAAGGGTCAAGCCTGCTGAGTACTGGAATGCTCAGTCATGGAGTGTACCTGATGTTTAACTTTATAAGAAGCTACTGACAGTTTTACACATCTTTTACTTATTTATTTGTTGTTTTTGGAGTTGGGCGTCTCACTGTGTCACTTAGGTAGTCCTTTTGCCTCAGCATCTGGAGTAGCAGGGACTACAGGTGCATATCACCATGCCCAACTAATTTTTGTTTTTGTAGAAATGAGGTCTTGCTATGTTGTCCAGGCTGGTCTTGAACTCCTGGACTCAAGGGACCCTCCTGTCTTACTGCCCAAAGTGCTGGGATTACAGGTGTGAGGCACTCTACTCAGTCTTTACTTACTTTTTAATAGCATTTATTACAACAAATTGCAATTATTGTTTGTGTCTGCTTCTTCCACAGAGCAGAAGTCTAGGACATGGCTTATTATCATTATTAACAATTTTTAAAATCTCCAATAATACTTTTGGCCTCAGATACCCTAGATCTAATATTAATATAGTAAGTTCTTGAAGAGATAACTGTGGATCACATGGGTGTATATATGTGTATGTGTAATATGCACCCATCTATGATTGAACTCATTCGTTGTATTGTTCAGATTTTCAAGCCAGGACATAGCTTATTCTTTATATTTCCCCAAGTGGCTAGTACAGTATCTGATACATATTTAGTACTTCATAAATTATGAGTAACTATAGTTCCTTGTTGTATTACTTTTATGGAATTCATGTTGTGTTAGTGGTTATGTTCATCTTTCTTTTCTATTAGATTGCAAGCTTCTTTTTTTGTTGTTTATGTTGGAATCTCACTCTGTTGCCCAGGTTGGAGTGCAGTGGCATGCTCATGGCCACCGCAGCCTCGACCTGCTGGGCTCAGGTGATCCTTCTGCTTAGCCTTCCAAGTAACTGGAACTGCAGGCACGAGCCATCACATCTGGCTAATTTTTTGATTTATTATAGAGATGAAGTCTTGCCAGGTTGCCCAGGTTGGTCTTGAACCCATGGGCTCAGACAGTCCTCTCGCCTCAGCCTCTCAAAGTGCTGGGATTATAGGCATGAGCCACTGAGCCCAGCCAGAACATGTTTTTTTTTAATCTTCATTTAAAAAAAGTATCTGTCACATTTTTGGAAAATTATTTGGGTGTATAAATGAACAGACCAGCCTGTTGCCCAGAAGGTGAAGACTCTGAGACAAAGAGCAAGAGAAGCTGGCTTTCGGTCTCCTCTGCTTGGGAAGAGGGAGAGAAGGTAGAACAGACAGAATTTTTTTTTTTTTTTTTTTAATTGGAGTCTCACTCTGTCGCCCAGACTGGAGTGCAGTGGCTGCTCCCGGCCACCGCAGCCTTGAGCTGCTGGGCTCCGGCTATCTTTCGGCCTCAGCCTTCCAAGTAGCCGGAACTACAGGCGCACACTACCACACCCAGCTAATTTTTTGATTTATTGTAGAGATGAGGTCTCTCCAAGTTGCCCAAGCGGGTCTCAATCCGGCGGGCTCAGGCAATCCACTCACCTCAGCCTCCCAAAGCGCAGGATTACAGGTTGAGCCACTGAGCCTAGCTCAGACAGAATTTTAATTGCTGGAATTTTAAGTGGTGAGAAGGGAGCTCACTGAGACTTTCTGCCCAGGGAAAGCACCTGGCATCACTGTGCATTGCCTAATTTGCTTCCATTCCAGGAATGTGTTGCAGCAGCGAGGAAGGAGGCTCTAAACTTTGGCCACAAAGCAACTTCTGTGGATCAGTGGGTGGTTTGGGTTAGTGTTGTATCATACACTGACACACAATCAGATTTTCACGTTGTAGATGTATCACTTGTGACCTAGAGGAAATAGATGCAGTATTTGAATGTTTGGTGTTATGTTCTTGTTTTTCAGTTAAATCCAGTTGTGAATGTTTTCCAGCGGAAATTTGTGAATGAAGTTAGAAGATGTGAAGAAATGGATCGAAAGCTTCGTACGTGCATTTGGTCTTGTATAATTTTCCTTTAATGAGTCATTTGTTTTAGATTAGTGATATTAGTCTTCTTAGTAAAGGAAGAAAATGCTGTAGGAGAAAAGGAAAGAGGAAAAATCTTGTGATCCTGCTTTGAAGATAAATTCCTTGTATACAAATAGGTTTTGTGGTGTTTGGGCTAGGTAATGCTTAATGGAAACCTTGTTGGAAACAACAGGCTGCAAGCTCACATACTGTGGTTATTTTTTGTGAGATTTTATTTATTTATTTATTTTAAATTTTTTTGAGTTGGAGTCTCACTGTCACTCAGACAGGAGTGCAGTGGCTGCTCCCGGCCACCGCAGCCTCAACCTGCTGGGCTCCGGCGATCCTTCCGTCTCAGCCTTCCAAGTAGCTGGAACTACAGGTGCGCGCTACCATGCCCAGCTAATTTTTGATTTATTGTAGAGATGAGGTCTCGCCAAGTTGCCCAGGCGGGTCTCGAACCCATGGGCTCAGGCAGTCCACTCACCTCAGCCTCCCAAAGTGCTGGGATTATAGGCTGAGCCACCAAGCCCAGCCTTTTGTGAGATTTTAATATCTCTCCTTCTGAGAACTAGGACCCAGAGCACCATCAAGTTTAGAAATCAGTAGAGCCACCTTTAAATTTGAGCTATTTATAAGGGAAGAAACTAACATTTGTTAAGGTCCTGTTGAGAGCTAGGATACTCTTATAGCTTATTTCATTCATTCCCCCAGCATTCCTTCAAGATGGGTGTTACTTCATTTAGTAATTGAGGAAACGACACGAGATCAGAGAGACTTAGTGACCTTCCCTAAAGTATAAATGGTCATGACGGAATTAGTACTTGAAGCCAGATTGTTCTGTCTGGCTCCAAAACCTATGATCTTGCCACTGTACTAATCCAGCTTACAGTTAGCTGACAGGAGAATGTGGTCCCCACTCTAAAAAACCACCCACCCACACACCCTTCCCAGCCTCAGTAATTGTCACCCGATACACTTTTCTCTTCTGGTATCTTGTGTCATTATTACATACTCTGCTTTTATTTATTTATTTATCAAGTAGGGGTCTCACACTGTCCCCCAGGCTAGAGTGTGCATTGGCACGATCATGATGAACACGGCTCATGGCAGCCTCAACTTCCTGGGTTCAGGCGATCCTTCCACCTCAGCATCCCGAGCAGCTGGAACAACAGACATGCGCCAGTATTCCTGGCTAATTATTTTATTTTATTTTTGAAGAGATGAGGTCTCGCTGTGTTGCCCAAGCTGGTCTCAAACTCCCAGGCTTGAGCAGTCCTCCCACCTTGACCTCCCAAAGTGCTGGGATTACAGACATGAGCCACCGTGCCCGGCCTTTTATTTTTATTTTTTATGCTTAAAACTAACCTGAATGTTTCCAAATCTGATGAACCCCTTTTGGTCTGGAGTTGTTTCATGGGTGTATTGTGTCACATATCCTAGTAAATTACACTGTTCTGTAATTCTGCTTTGCCAACAATATCTGTACCCAGAACCATCATAACTTGGGGTGGCAGTCATGTTGGGTGGAAAAGTGAAGCAGATGAAAGACAGTGTTAAGACTTGAAGAGGGATAGAAGGCAACTGTGGGGTGACCAGCGTCTCTGGGGGAGCCTTGGTGTGAGGATGGAGAAAGAAGGATGTAGAGGAAAAGGTACTTCTTTTATATAAATTATCTTTCTTTGAATTAAACTCTTTATGGTGAGGTTTTGGATCTTAATTTTTTTCCTCAAATAATGTCAATTCCAGGCATGTGCAGCTAGACATGAATATTTTGGTTCTGTCATTTTAGGATTTGTTGAGAAAGAGATAAGAAAAGCTAACATTCCTATTATGGACACTGGCGAAAACCCAGAGGTACCCTTCCCCCGGGACATGATTGACTTAGAGGTAAACAATTCTGAGAAAGTCAGAAAAGTTTCCTTCTACTTAAATGCAGAAATTACTTTCCTGAGTAGATGTAGGTATAGTAATTCTTGCTAACTTCGTCAGCATTATCTATTGACTATAAATTTCTTTATGTGAATTTGAAGTAATTCCCTCTTTTTGTTGATGCATAATATTTGTACCTATTTATGGTATACATGTGATATTTTGTTATGGATACAAAATGTGTGATGATCAAATCAAGGTATTTAGGGCATCCATCATATTTATCATGTATATGTATTGGGAACATTTCAATTCCCCTCTTGTCACTACTTTGAAATATACAGGGGCAACCCCTTCGGGTCCCCTCCCACCGTAGGAGCTTTTCTGTCCTCCCAATAAATTCTGTTTTCTAAAAAAAAAAAAAGATACAACAGTCATCTACACTGCTATCAAATATCAGAATTTATTCCTTCTAACTGTATGCTTGTACCTATTAACCAGCTCTCTTCATCTACCCAACCCACCCACACACCCTTCCCAGCCTCAGGTATCTGTCATTCTATTCTCTATCTCTGAGATACACTTTTTTTTTTTTTTTTTTTTTTTTGAGTTGGAGTCTCACTCTGTTGCCCAGACTGGAGTGCAGTGGCCGCTTCTGGG